CGTTACTTTTACACTTTATGGATTATGGGGTCTAACATGGTCCWTTTTCTATGTAATGTGGAATTTCAAGATCCACACCTTCCAGAAAGAGGGACATCCGGTTCTTCCAGAGACTAAAGTTGTCACGGAGAAACCGGGGAGGTTTGGCAAGAGAGCCATTATCTTTTGTGTGTGTGTGTTTGCAATTAGTAAAGCCATTTGTAAGCGGTAAAGTTATCTAAGAAAAGAGATAAACTAATACAGAAAACAGCTAAACACAAGGAAAGAAAGAAAACACTGCTCTGATACCATTTGTTGGTCCCGTGAGGGTCTACAAGAAGATAAACAGTTTGTAGAAGGGGGGGATGAATACAAACACAATATTTTTAAATTTAAAATATATATTGATAAAGAAGAGCAATACAGATTTTACAAGATTGTTTGCGGAAAGAAAAGGTAGTAAAAAACCTATCTAAACAATCTTTAGTTACACACAAATTTTTAGCAAAAACAAGAAAATAAATTGTTGAAGAGAGATCATCCTTTACTTAAGCTAGAAAATGCTTGAAGTAAGAATTAGGGTTAGAGAGTGAGTTGCACGCACTCTGCATGGAGAAGAAACACTTCTATTTTTACCCAGTGCATTAAATGTTCATTTAATGCAATATGGTAGGGTTAGAGTGCGTGTCAAGCCTTCAGAGGAAGACTTGTCCTTTGCTACAGTAAATAGTACAAAAACACTATTCATGAGCAGACATCCTACCTAAAGTTGGTGGACAATAGAGTCGACTAGTCGGCTMCGTACCGTACCAACWTTCATAAGGGTATGGGTTTTGTCCTTTGTGTGCATAAGGACAAGACAACAACAATCGTGCTAAGCAAACTTCCTTTGATTGCTGAATGCGGGGATGACCTGAAGGTCTCATCATCATTCGCTGAAGCTTGAGTAGTCTTCACACATATGTAGACAGACATGTAATCACTGAATACCACTTCAGATCACGTACTTGTCAGTCTCTAATCTTCAGTTTCAGTCTTCGACGTTTGCTGAAGGTTCTTTGGTGTGAGTGTTGTCTTCTTGAAGTATTGCTGTCTCTGATAGAATTACAATGCAAGTTCTTCAGCGATCACTGAACATACTCAGTAAAGATCACTGGAACTGAAAATACAGAAACATAAATACAACGTATAAGTGAAAAGGGATTATCATCAAATCACTGAGAGAGAGGATCAACATATTTTTTTATCAATCTTTTATGATCAAATGAGCTTACATTGTCATTTATGGAGGGACTGAGAGCTTCACTGGAATACCTCTATGGACTATCAGAACCGATAGCCTTACCTAAGAGGACATCTATATCTAAGTGAGCTTAAATGCAAAATGGGTTTGTGTGCTGAGCTTAAAATTAAAATGAGAGGGGTAGTAATTGTGAGCTAAAAGAATTGATGAGAGTTGTATCAGGATTAAAATATTAAAAGAATCTTGTGTTTGTCTCTTCACTTTGATCAATCTTCAAGAACATTCAATATGCACAAGATATATGAAAATCTTCATTCAAGAACACTTGAGAAAAAAAGTCAAATAGTCAAGATAGTATATTCCTCTCAATTATACATAATGTTTACAAATGAGCTCCTACATTCTAAAATTCCTTACGAGACCTATTTATTGGTCAAACAAAAAGCACAAGAGTTAAAGTCAACACAATGACTTACAAAGTCAAACTCTCTAAAAATACAAAACAAATCTTTCAAGACGAATACAATAAACTCTAAAATTCATTCCTAACATTCTCCCCCTTTTTATTCAGGCTTGAAAGAATTTGTACTCTTTGAATCCCTTTTGAAACTTTGACGCTTTATGCACCTTAAGACTTCTTTAAAATCTTCAAGTTAAACATATAACATTCTTCTCTTTATGATCTTCAAATAATCTTCTTTTGAGAAAATCTTCCAAAATATTCTCCCCCTTGAATGTAGAACAAAACAATCTTCTCTTTTCACAATGAAGAACAGTACCAGTAACAGTCTTTAGAAATAGTCTTCAAGATATGATCTTCAAAGAACTTCTTCAGATAACACTCACCAACATTCTTCCCATTGACAAATCTCTTTCAGTAAACTCTTGTTAGAATGAGATCTTCACATTCAATTCCCTCTCAACATTGTAGCACAGAATAATCTTCAGTCGTTGCATTTACACTCCTTGAGTCTTTTACCGATTCACGATCTTCAGAATTGATTATTTCATTCATTGTATAATACTCCCCCTTATGATGAAATGAGAAGCATTTGCATCATACATCAAAATGAATGAATCTTCAATGTATGCTGTCAATACGTAAAATTGTAAGCAGATCTTTTCAAATCCACTTGTATAATCTTTTTCAGATTTATGAAGATGGGAAAAATAACCAATATCAACTTGTGAAATTGTTTTCAATCTTATAAAAAGATTGGCCTGTGAATATAACAGATATATTCAGTACAACGAATGTACTTCATATATGAGACCTTTTATGGTTCATCTCACTAGGACATCCATTCAATCACCGATAGCTTATAAAAAGCATATATATATATGAATGTTATGAAAAGATAACATATATATTGCAAAATTTGTGTAGTGTGAATGAATATGATTCTATTTAGGCTCAAAAAATAAAATAAAGCACGTGGACTACACAAATTTATCAGATTGAATTTGTGATAAAAAAGACTTGAAGGGGGGGGGGGACATATATCCTTCTTTTTCAATATCACTTTTCTCCAAATGAGAAACTGATAGATAGTGAGTTGCGTCCCCCAAGTGTTATTGAAACATTTATCTGTTAAGAGATAAATGAGTAGCTGGTGGGGTTGTGACAAGAATTGGCCTGGGCTTTGCCTTTTTGAATATTAGTCTCCAAAGAATTGAGAACTAATACATTTCGTGGTTTTCCCGAATTATAGAGGTTAGAACATGATTCTTTTAATCTTTTAATCCTGACACAACTCTCATCAATTCTTTTGGCTTACAACAACTACCCCTCTCATTTTCATTTTAAGCTCTTCACACAAACCCATGTTGTATTTAAGCTCATTCAGATATGGTTGTCCTCTTGGGTAGGTCTGTCGATTCTGATATTCCATAGAGGTATTTCTGTGAAGCACTTAGTCCCTCCTAAATATGATAGTGTAAGCTCAATTGATCACAAATAGTTGATCAAAATATTTTTTACAAATAAGCTCAAATGATCAGATACAATTGATCAAGAAAAATGTAGCATTTAAGCACAGTCAACAAGAAGTGATGTATCAAACAGATTATTCAACGTATGTGGAAGAAATGAATGAATATCTATAAGTACAAGTTTACAGACTTAAATAGTCAAAGAATAACGAATTCTGTATTAATGAAAGTAAAAAAAAAATCAAAAAACAACTTTGAATACAAACGAGTGTATTATCACCGAAAATGATTTTCATTTAAGAGACGTGATAATAACAGTTTGAAGAATAGCTGAAACAGGTATTGGAATTATGTACGACGAGAAATTACGCAAGTAAAATCTCAAGAAATACCTGATCAATAATGACACTCGATTTTCAAAAACAATTCAGATTTCAAAAAATCATTTATCAAACTTCTTTCAATAACTCCCCCTAGAAAACATATTTAAGTAATAATTCTTTTCAGTTCAAAACCAAAAAAAGAAAACATTTTGGCTTGGGTTCTGAACTGTGTTGTTTAGAAGCTAAATTTCGGACAGATTACACACTCCCCCTGCATCAGTGCATCATAAACATGATTTTCTTATCAACATAGCAATGACACATCTGCAAAACAGATCAAGTAGATTTTGGGACGCAGACAAACTTGGGTCCTTCTTTGTTAGTATCGGTTGGGGAATATTGTAACTGCCAAACCATCTATTTCTATTAGATGTCTTCTTTTTATCACTTTTAATAGGTTGATCAGATAAACAATAAGATGCATACCAGTTGTTGACAAACCTGTTAAAACTATTCCATCTACTGTTGTCCTCACACCATCTGATGTACTTTTTCCTATTGACAAAATCGGTGGTTCCGCATGTTGAGCACATGATTCTTCTCTTACTAAGATTGATCAAATCATTAGTGGATCTCACAATGCAAGGAAGAACAGGGTTAGTAACAACAAATTTATGATACATAGCAGAATCAACTTTATTGACCCAAACATTTTTAACTTTTGAAAGATAATTGGGTGATCCAATAACATACCCTTGATAGTACTGATTTGAAGAACGAGACTTGTTCTTAGAAACAATTGATTTATGGCTGCTTGAATAAATGTTAGATTTAACGCTAGAACAGTCATAAAAGCTAGTTTTACACAGAGATTGAGAATCGGTTGAGCTTTTAGCACTTGAAAAGTCTTTTACTTTCTTAAGTAACTGATCTCTTTCTTTAGCAACTAAATCGTATTTTTTTTTGTAAGTTCAGTTCTCATGTTCAATTCAGTTACAAGTTCTGTCTCTAGTTCAGACAAATTCTTTGAAGATTCCAGAAACTTACCTTCTAACTCTTTCTTCAGCTTTTCAAGCATTTTCCTTTCGTTCTTCATCTGAACTTCCCTTTTCATTTTCAGAAGTAATGTCAATCCATTTCTTTTTCTCTCCAAGCTATTTGGCAATTGCTGCATGTTTCTTAGCAATGAATTTCTTTTCAAGAGCAAACAGTCTCTTCTCTTCATCTAGTGCTTTCTTCTTCTTCTTTTGTTCAGCACTATAAAGCAATTCCAAATTCTTGCTCAAACATTCTTCTTTAAACTCTTTCTTTTCTTTATCAACCTTGGCTCATTCCAAGATGATAAGTTGTTCAAAATCAGAAATTTGCTTTAAAAGCATTTTGGCATTTAGCTCCGAAGAGTTCATCTTATTTTCAAAAGATTTTCGTTCTGTATCAAATGTTTTCTCAACTTTTATCATCCTTTTCTTATCTTTCTCCAAAATTTTCTTTTCAGCTTCTAAACTCTTCTCAGCTTCTAAAACCTTATCTTTCTCTTGATCCAATAACTTCCTTTCATCAATCAATTCATTCTCAGATTTACGAAGTTTCTCAGTTAGTTCCTCAACCTCCTTATTCTTTTTTTCTGGAGAGTTCCTTTTAGCATTCAATTCAAACTCAGCTTTTTGAAGTTTGTTAGACGGATCTTGCTTTATCTTGTTTGAACTTCTTATCTCTTCATCTAACCCTTTTCTTTCATAATCCAAAGTATTTTCAAGTTTACGAATCCAAAATGTGGAATTGTTTTCATCACGTTCTATAGCTTCTTTATGCTCCCGTTTTAAATTTTTAACAAGCTCCTCATTTACATGATTTTCATAGAAAACATTCACATATTTATCTTTATAACTCTGTTGACTTTGCTCTAATTCACAGATCTTTTCTTTCAACTCCTTATTTTCCTTCTCAAAGAATGATGTCATTTAAAAATTAAAAGATTGATCAAAATAGAATCTATGCAATATTGAAATTGAAGAAAGAAAACACTTTCCAAAAATGTCTCAAAAATATCACTCAGATCGAAAATCAGTTTAAGCATATTCTCTATAAATAAAAAATATCACTCAGATGAAAAAAATCAGTTAAAACAGTAAAAAACAATCAACAAAAACAAATCACAACTCAAAACAGTTAAAACTGCTCAAATATCAGGTAACTTGGTGAAAATTCGGAAACGAAAAATGAAATCCAGACAAAAATGATCAAAAATGATGGAATATGGAATTTGGACAAGATGATAAGCAAGAAAATCAAATATGGATAAAGGTAACCAAGAAATTTTGAATCCGGACTAAAGGGTGTGAGGAAACTTAAGTTTGGCTAAGGATGACCAATATATGTAATCCATGTAACCTGTTGGCCGAGATAGAAGAGAATTCTGGGTGAGCTAGTTGACCAAGGACGCTTGATCTAAGGAGAATGTGGTATCCGGACAAGGCTGCTTCTGGGTAAGGTGATCAAGCGACTAAGTTTGGCCGAGGTTTCCCAAGTTTGGAAAAGGCTGTTTTTCGGGGAAGTCTTGATCTTGGCTAAGCCTTTGATCGATAATCCCTTGAACTCGGCTAAGGTGGTGACTGAGGATCCCTAATCCGGATGCGACATATGCGACTAAGTCTTGAGCTTGAATACAGCTAATGGGTTGAGCGAGAATGACCAGAATCCGGACAAAGTGATGAACATGGTTGTTGGGATTGAATTTTAGTATTAAATTGTATTCGTCTTGAAAGTTTATAATTGTATAGTTACCGTGTTTGACTTTGTAAGTCATGTTGACTTTGACTAGAAGGGTTCTTAGTTTGACCCTATATAAGCTTTGTCTTCTAGTGTTTTAGTAGGAGAGCTCAATTGTAATAATACATATACTTTGAGAGTGAAATAGAAGCTTTGACCTGTTGACTTTTTCTCTCAACTCTCCTTCAAGTGTTCTTGATGTTTATATAAATCCGCCATTGAATTCATAGAGATATATGAAGATTGATCATATTGTGGACTCACAATTGGTATCAGAGCAGGTTATGCAAAGAAATCACGAGAAGAAATCACTGATTTGAAGAATTTTTTTGAAGAAAATTTTCTGGAGTTTATCGTGTTCATCTTATGTTCTTCATATTTTTAACATTTTGATCTGATTTTTTTTCAAGTTTTTGTGTTTTGGTGTTAAAACGTGATCAAAATGCGCGTAATTACTTCGTTAATCTTTGTTATTCACAAATTTTTGTGTTTTGATCATCGGTTTTCTAGAATTGCTCAAATTTGTGGATTTTAATTTTTTTTGTGTTCTTAAAAAGTTTTCAAAGAGTCAGTCTTTTGATCCAAATTTGTACGAAATTATTGATGATTTTGTGTTTTTGGTGATCTTTGATTGGTTTAACTTGCTTTTCATCGTATACAAGGCTGATAAATCATTTAAAGGATTGATCGATTTCTTGATTTCTTGACTAAATTGCATAATAGCCTAGTCGGACCTAACACTTAGTCAATTTTTGGACTCTCTAACCGCTCAGCCTTCACCCGGTTTTGATTAATATCGATCAAGCTTTCATCCAACTTTGCCTTTCATCGCTCAAAACACTTGGTCTATAATCTATGTTTGTTGTAATCCGGACATAACTTTGTCCTTACTTGGCTAAACCGATCAAAGACTCAATCGGATTTGGTGTATATCGATAACATGCTTAAGCGAGCTCAAATCAAATCGCATAAGTCAGCTGATTTAGCCTATCTGTATTAGGTAAATCGCACAAAGGTTGGAACTGTTTAAGTCTTCCTTGCATAAAGCAGCATTCGGAGTTAACCTTTATCGAACGCAAGCAGCATATGGATTTCAAGTTTACCTCCGACACAAGGCTGTGCAGACTTGGCTACATCGTTCAAGGCCACCCGAACTTAGGCTAAATCGCACATAGCTTCATCCAAGTTCCATTCTTCATCGCTCAAGTTCACAAGTTCAAGGACTTAGACATTTTTTTCTAACCGGTGATCCGAATAACCTTCTGTCTGTATTTGTATTAATTGATCATCACTCTATCCGGATTCGCTCACAAGGCTTCCGAGTTGGACTTAGTCGCTTATCCTCGCACATAGATTTGGCCATCCTCGCTCAAAGGCACATCCGGTGACTGCAATCCTCGCACACACTTTGACCGGATTAGGAACTCCTCCGACAAAACCACTCATCTCTTTGTCCGGAGTTGTTGTTCCTCGCACAAGGTGTATCGGTTTATCCTTACCTCGCTCACCCACTCAACCGATTTAAGGTTACCTCACACCAAGGCTCTTCCGTATTCTAGGTAATCTGGACACAATCATAACTGGATTTGGTTTGGTCGCGACTCGCCTCTCTCGGACATACTCGGACACGCATCACCCAGATACCTTCCTCGGACAAATACTTAGTTTCGATTTGTGTTTTTCCTGCATTCTAATATGAACACTGCCTTGGCTGGATTGTGTTACTCAGCCAAGCGACTTACATTTCTTGGTATTGTCCTCGGTAATCACCTTAGTCACGAACTGCTTCATTCGGAGACCACCAAATACGTACAACAAGCTGTCCGATTTTGATCTCGTTTAGCCAATTTCAAGTCACCTAATATAGACTTAACCCTGTCCGAATTTCTCTTCTTGGTTGAGTTGAGCTTAATATTCTTGTCCGGTTTTGGAGTATTTTTAGCCAAACTCAAGTTTCCTTGATCAACCCTTTATCCGGATTTGAGGCCAAAAGTCTTAATTTTTTTTCTAGTCTTGTCATATTTTGAGAAATATTTTGACAAAACTTGAATTTTTTTCCAACACATTTTATACAGATTTCATTTTCTCTCATTCTTTATCAGTTTTATCTTGTTTTCATTGATTTTATCTATTTTTCACAAAATTTATGGATTTTTGAGAATTTTAACTGAATTTGGACCGTCTTGAATTGTGTTTAACTGTTTTGAGTTTTTTGAAATGTTTTGTGTCGTGTAAACTATTTTTGATCAGTTTTAACCGTTTCTGATTGTTTCTAACAAATTTTAACTGTTTTTAATAGTTTTTGACTGTTTTTATTGAATTTTAACGCTTTTCGCTGATTCTCTGATTTCTGAATAGTTTATGAGTTTTTCTGAGAATTTTTGAGCTTACTGATTTATCTGAAAGATTTTATTGGTGTTTAATTTCTTTGACTAATTTCATTCATTGCATAAGATTCTTTAATCAATCTTAAAATGGCAGTTTATCTTGAGAAGGAGAATAAAGAACTGAGAATTAAGATTTCAAAGTTGGAAAAGAGCACAAAGGACTATAAAGATAAATATATAAATATGTTTTATAAAAATCATGCTAATGAGGAACTTGTTACCAATTTACGAAAGGAACATAAAGAATCTATGAAACAAGTTGAAAAAGATTTCATGAATAGGATTGAAAAGTTGGAGAAAACTGTAGATTCTGTCAGGGAAGAAACAAATGAAGAGTTAAAAACTTGGAGTAAATCAAATAAAGATATGTTTAATAAACTCCATGAATTTCAAAATGAACTAAATGATGAGAGAAACTCTTCTGGAAGAAAACATACAGAGACTGATGATTCCACAAGTAAATTTCATAAGTCTGAGAATGATTTGATTGAGATTAGAAAATTACAGGAATTAGAGAAGGAAAAGGTTCTAGAAGCTGAGAAGGTTTTGAATGTTGAAAGAAAAGAAATAGAAAAAGAGAAGAAAAGAATATTTGAAGTGGAGAAATGGTTTGGTACTGAAAGAATATCTTGTGAAAATAAGATCAACTCGCTGGAATTAAATGCCAAAATGTTATTGAATCAAATCTCGGATTTTGAGCAGCTTATCATTTTGGAACGAGCCTAGATTGATAAAGAGAAAAAAGAAATTACAGAAGAATGTCTGAGCAAGAACCTTGAACTATCTGACTGCTTTGCTCAAAAGCAGAAAGCTTTGGATGAAGAGAAGAAGCTGTTTGCTCTTAAAAAGAGAAATACTGCTATGAAATATGCAGCAATTGCCAAAGAGCTTGCAGAAAAGAAATGGCTTGACATTGCTTCTGAGAATGAAAAGAGCAGCTCAGATGAAGAGAGAAAAAAGTTTGATAAAGAAAAGAAGATGTTTGAGAAGCTGAAGAAGGAGTTAGAAGGTAAACTCCCAGATACTTCTAAGAAATTGTCTGATCTTAAGATAGAACTTGAGACTGAATTGAAAATGAGAACTGAACTCAAAGAGAATTTTGATTTAGTTGCTGATGAAAAAGACCAGCTTTTAAAGAAAGTTAAAGACTTTTCATGTGCTCAAAGCTCAACTGGTTCTCCTTCATATTGTAAAACAAGCTTTTATGACTGTTCTAAATCTAACAGTTATTCAAGCAGCCCTAAATCAACTGTTTCTAAGAACTATTCTCATTCTTCTAATCAGTACTATCAAGGGTATGTCATCGGATCACCCAATTATTCTTCTAAAGTTAAAAGTGTTTGGGTAAATAAAGTTGAATCTGTTTCGTCTCGTAACTCTGTTGTTACTAACAATGTTCTTCATTGTGTTGTGAGATCTACTAATGATGTGATAAATCTTAGCAAGAGAAGGATCATGTGCTCCACATGCAAAACCACTGATTTTGTGAACATAAGGAGATACAACAGGTGGACTGGACACAACAGATATCAGAAGAGATGTAAGAATTATAATAGGTATGATAATAATAACTGGTATGGATCCTATTGCATATATGTTCAACCTGTTAAAAGTGCGTAAAAGAAAAATCTATTAAAAATAGATGGTTTGGCAGTTACAACATTCCACAACCTAATACTAACAAAGAAGGACCCAAGTTTGTTTGGGTACCAAAATCCGTTTGATTTGATTTTGCAGGCGTGTCATTGCTGCGCTGATCAGAAAATTATGCTTATGATGCATAAATTGAGGGGGAGTTTGTAAAC